GCACTGCAGATGTTAGTTTCCTTTCATAGATAAAATACTATAAAGCAAAAAAGGAGTATTGTCTATAAGCAACTTTTGTTTAATTTTATAGCTCATTATAATACGATTTACCCCCTTTTTACCTAACCTAACATAAAAATTTCCAAAGTACATCATATTCAAACAACGTTAGTTTCTTAAAGTAAATGGTTTGAGCCCGGGAGTATCGTTACATGTTTTTAAATGATGATCATCCAGGTTAATAAAGTCCTGAGAAGGACTGTTCTTGTTGTTGTTGACTGACGTTTCGACAACCTTAGCAGTAGTCATCTTCAGAGTCAAATGAGGAGTAAACGTCAGGTTAGCCGTATTTTTTATCTGGCTCTTACGTCATTGTATTGTGTGTAGAGGAAATGTTTATTGTCATTGTGAATTAGTGTGAAGTGAAATATTTCATTTTTAGTTGTGATGTGTGATTTAGGTGTGATGTTTTTATTTGTAATGTGTGGTTATCAATTGTGTATATTCATTGTGAATTAGTGTGAAGTGTATCGTTTGTTTGTATTGTGAATATGTCGTTTGTAAGGTGCCGGTAATTGCTGTGATCTGTTCAGGGGGGTTTGTTCCAAGCTGGTATACCAACTATCAAATGTAAACCGTTGTCTATAGTCAGCACTGTAAGTAATGCATTTTGCCGAGTCCATAGTAATACAAACTATTGCAGAGAAACGAGCAAAAAAGACAGAGACACATCACCAAATCAAACAACAACAAAAACTTGAACGCTTAAAACAAACTAAAACACGTACAAGATATAAACATGACGATAACTGGGTGAGGAATATTTCTTCCCGCTCATTAGACGAATCGGAAACGCGACTACTATCTTACGGACTAAAACATTCCATAACACCTAGACGAATCCCGACTGAGACGATAGTATCAAGTGTTGAGGCTGTCGAAGCGTATCAAAGAGATTTGTCAGAGACAACTAAATACGAGATCAGAAGCAGGATAGCCTCTTCATTACAATCGTCGTCTATACGTGACAACAAATTAACAAAAGATGAACAACAAGCACTAAAACGACTAAAACACGACAACAACATCGTCATTTTACAAGCAGACAAAGGACGCGGGACTGTGGTCATGGACAGGAATGATTACTTTAACAAAATGGACACCCTTGTTAACGACAGACAAACGCACGAACAACTCAAACGAGACACAACACCATCACTAGTACGCAAACTTAACAGCAAGATCTTCTCTACGAGAAAATCTAACATTATATCTGAACGTATATACTATCGACTCAGATGTTCAGTACCACGACCACTCAGACTATACGGACTACCAAAACTTCACAAACCAAACACCCATGCGACCAATTGTATCATTCTGTGGTTCGCCTACTTACGAACTTTGAAAGTACATGACTATCCTACTGCAACCACTTACAAACAAATCAAAACACAAGCTACAATCCACTTAAACTCTCATTAAAAAACTGTGCACTATACAAATACCGGACAACTATATACTAGTATCTTTTGATGTGAAATCACTGTTCACTAGTATTCCACTTAATTTGGCACTTACTTGTACGAAAACCCTCATTACAAACACCAACAGCAATGGGCTCGCCCGTTTCTGTTGTAGTTGCTGAAATTGTAATGCAATCTATAGAGGAATGGGCGCTCACGACTTACACACATGCACTACCTTTTTGGTTTCGCTACGTAGATGACACAATCACAGCACTACATGCAGACGAGATTGATGATTTCCATACTCACATCAACAAACAGAGCAGCCACATACAATTTGTCAAAGATGTCGAAGAAAACGGAACTCTTCCTTTTCTTGACTGTTTGGTAAAACATGACAATCAAAAACTACGAACAACAGTTTATCGCAAGCCAACACATACTGACCTACTACCAGACCAATCATCTTACAACCCTACATCACACAAAGCCACTAAAATCAGAACATTAACAAGACATGCACAAATCATACGTGATTCACCGGACGCTCTACAAAACGAAAACAACTATCTCGAACGTGTTTTTGAGAAAAACAACTATAACTCTGACTTTATCAAACGCAACACTTACAAACCCAACGAACCCAACGAAACGAACAACTCAGTGACAACAGCAACGATACCTTACATCAAAGGTACGTCTGAGACTATCTCGCGTATCTTACGACCATACAACATACATGTCGCACATAAACCAATCACAACGTTACGACAAGTACTAACGAACATAAAGGACAAAGAACAGACCAACAAACGACAAGGTGCAGTTTACAAAAAAACTGCTCCGACTGCCACGCCTCCTATATCGGGGAAACTAGCAGGAACTTAAACATAAGACTTACTGAACACAAAACGAGCTACTAAGAAACAAGACAAAACTAATCACATTGCCGAACATCACCGAATCACAAAGCACAACATTGACTGGGACTCGGCAAAATGCATTACTTACAGTACTTACTATAGACAACGGCTTACATTAGAAAGTTGGTATACCAACTTGGAACAAACCCCCCTGAACAGATCACAGCAATTACCGGCACCTTACAAACGACTTATTCACAATAGAAACAAACGATCAACTAAAAACATTACACTTCATACAAATTCACAATGACAATACACAATTGATAACCCACACATTACAAATAAAAACATCACACCTAAATCACACATCACAACTAAAAATAAAATATTTTACTTCACACTAATTCACAATGACAATACACATTTCCTCTACACACAATACAATGACGTAAGAACCAGAAAACAAATACGGCTAACTTGACGTTTACTCCTCATTTGACTCTGAAGATGACTACCGCTAAGGTTGTCAAACGTCAGTCAACAACAAAAAAAACAGTCCTTCTCAGGACTTTATTAACCTGGACGATCATCATTTACAAACATGTTATTTTCTTAGGTAATTATCTCTATACATCACATTTCACAATTTCAACGTATTACTTCCATTTCCTCTCTCAGGAGGCGGAAAATAAGGACAAAAAAAGACAAATTAATGGTTTCGACCCCCACCTAAACATTTTCAGAGAAAATTTAGGACTTACATTTTCATAAGTTACAATCCTCATACAGGTAAGTGTTCTTTCGTTTTCACCGAATGTATAAAAGCAAATTTTCTGCACATACGTTTTTATTTTTCGATCATAAATTTTGGCGTACTACGTATGCTTGTGTCTTATTAACATAATGTCAAATCTAAGTTGTTTGGGCCCATTTCTTGTGTAAGATGTATAAATGTACATCATTAGATTATACTTTTGAGCAATTTTTCTGAAAACAATAATGTTTTTCTGCAATTCGTTTTAAAAATATTACATTGTCATTTAATGCAAAACGTTCTCTCAAATTTATTCAGCTTCTACAAAAAAACGCTTTCTGAAAAAATCTGCACAAAATGTCTCTTTTGTTACGTTGCTTTTGAGTCAGATTGTGTGACAGGGAATATTTAATACTGATTGCAAAAATATAAACACCTCTTAAAAATTCTTTTAATGTTTAAATTATTCAACAGCTTAATTCCATTGACGTAATTATATTAGCGTGCTTTAGATTTGCATTGAAATTCTCACGAAGACACGCATATAATATTGCAGTTAAGTTGTTCATCTTCTTTGAGTCACGCAACGTCAACAAGAGTTGTGACTTATTAGGTTTGAGAAGCCAGTTAGAGAAATCATAGGACGTAGATGTGGCTCTAACACGCCTTTTTAGAGATTGTACTTTATTCATCATGTTTCTAACAAATTTTGCTTCGTCAGGTATCAATGAGCCCAATTTATTCATCTTTTATGCTTTAACATATATCCAAAAATACTTTAGAAAATTCTCTATGCATGATACCTTATAATATTTTTCTTGCATTTACGCAGCATAATAGAAACGCTTTACCTGCTGCTTTAATATTTAAATTTTAAAAATTGTTTGTGTTGAAGAATAAATTAGTTTTTTCTTCATTTCCAATTGACTATATTTAAAATTTATGGATCTCTGCTATATAAGAAATTTCATTATAATTTTGCTATTGTTCAACCGAATAGTTTTTGATATATTACAGAGTTATACTTTTACTAGTTGACAGAGGTCATTTTACTAAAATATGTTGTCACGTACAATGTAAACTATTTGTTACAAAGAATTCGTTGCTAATGTCCTTTTCTGTGGACATTTAAATGTCACTCAATCTATTGACTTCTTATCAAACCATGCAATCACAGATCTGATGCAGAAAAATAACTGAACAATAAACACACTAAGAAATCTATTTGAAAAATAAGGCCAAAACTCCTTTGTTAAAGATTGACTGTTTTTTTGGTTTCGAGTTCATACTTTGCCAGCAAAGTAAGAGATACTTCAAAAAGTGACTTACTACAAAAACCAACTTATGCAATTATCTTTATCGAGCAGCTATTAACATGCCAACAAACAGACTAATCAATGTGCTTGTTCAACACGACAATATCATAGAGCATCACACGTCATTTAAAAACAGATGGATTTAATTAAATGCTTTGTAATGCAGGTCACAAGGTGGTTTATAGTGCTGCTATCGAAAAAATTCTTCCGCCAATACCTTTATGAACATTTGAAGAATACATTACCACCGACTTTCTCTTCTACTTCCCGAAACAGCTTGAGACAACAAATAAAGTTGATATTCTACGGAATATCTTATCTTGTATTCAATATAGATTCACTGGAGAATGTTATCGATTTTGACAAACTTTGAATAATTTATGGCTCGGAAAAGAAAATTCAAAAATGTCCCAGTATACGACATAGCAAGCTTTCCTAGCGTTGATAGATCTTTAAGCCAGCTATTAGTCCATCCACTAACTGGGTGTGACACAGTCTCTTATTTTTGAGGGTGCTACAAAAGAAAACTGCAGTGGATGCCAGGAAATTAATTCATTCTCAACGGACTAGAGAACCAAACAATTACATCGTCGGAAGAAAACATCACAAAGCAATCTATGGACGTTATTGAGAGGTGTGTGTTGCTGTTGTTTCATCGAAAGAAAAGGAAACTGATACAAACCGATTAAATATGCATGCAAAAGAAAAGCCATTGCAAAAACTTTAAAGGCAATCTGTATTTAAACTGTGCTATGTAATATGACTTTTATCTATTGCATTTTTACGACAGCTGTACGACCAATTTCATATGAAAAATCAGTTTCCTCGTATTCACAATTTATTGATTGGAGCTTTACTGAACTGATTAGCAAAGAGTTCATGTTAAATCGATGCAGACAAATGAACCTGTAAAATTGTCTGAATGTTCTGTTTGAAGAGCATGATACACTACTCAAGTTGAAAAAGCTAGATGTCAACAAAGTACAATATTTCTGGCAATAAACGCAGGAATTGACCAAGTGACCATTTTACACAAACTGTTATCGGTGGATAACTTCGCGAGTTTTTATTGAATTCACTCAAATACATGCTTAAAATAATCGCTGTATGTTCCTTTTTCAAATAAACTTTGATTGGATAAATTTCGATACAATACAATGGCAAGAACTGCGAAAAACCTCATTTTTGTAATACAATCTACATATCTTTTGCCCTGTTGACGCCGCCATATTGAATAATCATGATGGCCCAACGCGCACACATATAATATGTACGTACCTATGACTACTACATCTATGGTAAAAATAGATATTTTAATATGGCACAAAGCTCAAATTTAAACACGGTAAACAATTACAGACTTGCATTGTCATGTTATATCGCAAGCTAAGCAAAGAAGATAAAAAATTGAACATGCTTTGTATATTTTAACTGGTCTGAGGCAACGTATTTTAAAAATCTCTGTTGTAAAAGCACTTCTACTTTGTTTTGAAAAAATGCAGCAACCCTTATTCAACGTTGATTGTTATTCTTTCAATAATATTACACGACGCCTTTCCTTTATCGCGTTCCAGACCTTGTTGTGAGCAAAACGCGAGCGCCAAATTGTATTCGAGAAAATGCAAAATTCAACGCTTGAAACAGGCCTTATTATGCGATGCCCGATGTTACTAAAAGATGTTAGATACAACCACATTCACGTAGTGATTAGACGCTGACCGTGCGAGTACGGGCAGATTAAGAAAAAAGGTACGTATAGCGTACATATGGATTTAATTTTAAAAAGACAAAATACTATTAACAAGTCTTCAATTTACCTATTGATATTATTCTAATTGAGAGTCAAGCAGAATCCTTAATTAACATATTCATAATCACTATACATAAATTTAAAAGTTGCTTTTCATCGAGGAGATAAAGTGAATTTAACTGAATGAAAATGGACTATTAGTTTGAAAAATTTACGATAATTGTAAAACAGAGGGAAATGAGAGCAAAGATGAACCTAACGTCTATGGTCCTAGCCTTATACTGTTCGATCACTAGTGTTTTACTTCTATTCTCCTACTACGTCCACCGTCTTTATACCGGCTGATCTTTAATGTAATAATTCTACTCTCATCTGTCGAAAATCATTTGACTAAGAAACACACAACTTGAACAAAAATTTTTTTATATTCATAAATATACCAAATAATAATTGAAAACCATATTTAGGGTTGATACAGTATGAAAAAATCGTATACAGTCGAGAAACTTAGACACTTCGCAAAATCCAAGACCTCTTGTATGTGAAGACACATTTACGACCTTTCGTTAGCGGAGGTGAATACCAAAACAACTTTCACAAACAACATTATAAACTGTTGTAAGCGTTTGCACTTGATCTATTTTCAGTCAAATTAGTAATTAATCCCGACTAATTGACATATTACGGTATATAAATAGATGTTGTTTTGTAATGCATGTAAATTCCTTCGTCTCCTTCATTTTTCTTCATGAACCACTATAGTTTCTTCTCCAGGTTTGCGCATTTATGTTCCTCAAAGAAAATTTTTTCATGTCATGTGAATTTTAAGCATTGTGTCTGTACAATGACAATATACATGATGAATTTGTTATATGATACGTCTATGGACTCAAACGTTTCACTGTACAGATGTTGGACTTTTCAGTCGTTATGAAGCATATAATCATATTTCAAAGCATTGTAAAAACAGTCATATTTAAAAAATTTTTTATAATTATGCAAAAATTAACAAACATCTCATAAGCGGACAACTCCGACAACAGAACACCAAGTCTTGGTCTCAAGGGTGTCCTTTTACGGTAAGTTCGATTGCATTCATTAAATATAAAAATGCTTTAAAACGTCTATGCCTATATAGAGTAAAGAATGTTCTGAATTTTGTTCCTTGATGTTTTCCATCGTTACAAACATTTGCTGGCACGGATGAAACTATCAAACACAATAGTTATATGTTTGTAATTAACACTATCGTATCTACGTCATTCGCATTGAATATTAAAGTTTATTACATGTTATTTTGCTATGACATGATTTCTTTGCACGAAATTTTCAAAACATGTCTCGCATACATTTTACTTTTCTTTCAAGGATTAGGCATGGAAATTTTTTGTGAGAGAAAATTTCTGGTTGTTGGTCCGTTCTTCATGTGTATTCAATTATTCCTGGCATTTGAAATGTCCCATGAAAACAGAGAACAGGAAATATTATACCGTGATTTTACGATTTTTAAAAGGATAAAAATCCAAATTAAGAACTTTCAAATACACTAAATGAATGAATAGAAATCTTCCCAGTCACATAGACCTCAAGCTAGACAGACATGAAAGGTGAAAGCATGTACAGGATCGCAGTTAAATATTGGGTTGCCGTTGAAGTAACAGTCATTTTTGCTTTTTGTAGCATATTTTATTATATTCCAGGTGAGAAATCTACGTTTGTTTATATGTCACGCCTTAACCAAAACAATCATTTGTTTCTTCGGTCATTTTTTCCTGTAATGCAGGCAAATAAGCTGAAGCTAAAATTTACAAACGTTACAGATGTAAAATTTTATAAACTAAATATACAGATAGCAGAATAAAAAGCTTGTAAGCTCTGTAAAGGGTGCCTAAAATTTAGACCTCGCAGAACAATGGTCAAGCTAGTAACGGTGGATCAAATTGCTTTTACAAGTTCACATTAAATTTCGGATTTCGTAGTTTAAAATGGCATATACATTATAGATACTCGTATATAGATATAAATGTAATACAATCTTATGTTAGACAGCTAGTTCATACGTATTTTGGGCAACATAAAATTTTGTGTGCATTTGGACTGTTCTTAAATTCAAATGTGGGCTTTGTGCTGCTTGTCCAATCAACCATAAAACGTTTTTCTAATCACATACATATTGTCTTGATAAACAAATACGTCCTTTCACACAACAAAAAAGCCTTATAATGGTGCACTAACTCTCACACCAATATATGGCATCTCTTCCTTTTTTCTGTCAAAATGATCATGATTAATGTTTTATGATTTTCATGAATAACTAGGTTTAGGGTTTGTGCTCGAGAATGGTATGAGAAAAGTGACGGGATTAAATATCCCTAAAACCAACTACTGGGAAACATTTCTTGGATGGGAAATATTTATGTCAGTTTGAAAATCAAGAGTTGTCGACATTACAAAGGAAATGCAAAAAGGACTGGAGGCACGAAATGTTCCCTTGGTAACACCCGATGGAAAGAAATGTGTGCGTTTACTTGATTTACTTCAAGCTGAGAGAGCATTAGTCGTGTCCTTTGGCAGTTGTAATTGCCCAGTGTTTATGAATAAACTGAAAGAATTTGGTGTTCTAGCTCAAGACTTTTCAGATATCGTGGATTTTGTCGTTGTATATATTGAAGAAGCTCATCCAATTGATTGATGGTCTTTCAAGGTAAATTCTTTTATTTCTTCAACATAATTTTGAATTGATGAAAATCGTAGAGTTATATTATAGCTACGTTATTCATAATGAAGAATAGTTTTTCCAGTATAACATGAAAGAGAAATTAAACGGCTACAGCAATTTCGTGATTTTTAAAACATTCTTTGTATAACCATAATAATAATAACGAAGCATATAAATTTCATCAGGTAAAAATCTTTTGCAAACACTCATAACATTTTAGTAGGCTATATAGCCGGACAATATGTTCTGCTGACATAATAATAGCTTTTTTATCTTACTGATAAAAATGGGACCTTTTTCAAAGGCAGAAATAGTGAACTTCTGTTGAACTATACTTTCATTAGGCAAAAACAAAGATGTTGTTTGAAAAAGAATCATCCCTTTCATTATTTGACAATTTTTTGTGTATAGAAAAACATGTCTTAAGATTTCTTGATAAAGTCATGAAGGAAGCTAATTTCACTTCCTTTTAGAATAACTTTATTAAAGTACGAAAGCATTGAAATCAATATGAAAGATGCAAAGCTGCGCAAAAGCTACAAGAACTCAATCTTCCATGTCAAATAATGGTAGATACAATGGACGACAAGGGAAATGTGGCCTATGGGGCGTTGTCTGAGAGACTCTACGCCATCGAAGAAGGTAAAGTCGCATACGTGGTCGGACAGGGACCAATGAATTCATCAATGAAAGCAGCACGTGACTGGCTAGAGTCATATCGCGAGAAAAACACATTTAGAAGATGGACAATCTAACCCAGCGAGCAAGAACTGTACAGAATGCAAACTTCGTATAATGACATTTTGACATATTTTGGCCTTGAGGTTGAGACTGTTGTTTCTTTATCCCAAAACATTTTTTAAGTGATTGACAATGCCCTAATGTATGATAATGTACAGATATGGAAAAACATATTTCAAAAGTGAGATTTTTACAAGGATGCGTCGACAAAGGAACTTTGAAGACATATACACATGCATATTTTTCTTGTAACTTACAAAAGCTTAAAAATACAAGACAATGTAGGTTTCTATGCTTTTAGTATATCTAAACGTGGATCATGAAGTCAATTGAAATGAATCGACTGTTAGGAGCAACCAAAGTAGAACATGCATATATATTTGAGATCACTGGGGAGTTTTGGTCAAAACAGGCAACCGAGACAATTGAAATCTATCGCAAATACCAGTTTTTGCATGTCAATACTTGGGCATCATTTAAGGTTAATGGCAAAAGTTTTAAGTCGTAGGATAGACATGCAAACCTGCCACTTTTAAATCATTCTATAGACAATAGTGATGGAATTTAGTATGGATAAGTTTAAGGAGCCAGTATTGAAAGACATATAATTGTATTACGTATTGTATACAAAAATGAATCAGAAATAAGTTTGAAAAAGGTAGAAACATTTTTATGAGGTACAGTTAACGCTCTTGAGGGCATTTGCGTGAAAGTTATATACTTAATGTGCAAGAGAGAACCAATAATTTAAATATGCAAATGATACAATGGTTGGCTACAAGCGCAAGCCAAAAACTACGTTTCAAACGACTTTTTCTCCCTTACAATTTGTAATAGACCGTAAAATTTCACCATTCAACTGTCAAAAAGAACTGCTCAATTTTCTTATTTTATTTGGGAAGACGTTATAGCCTATAATACAAATTTCAATTCTGTTGTTAATCATATTTAACCACGGTTAGATGTCCTACAACAGTCACAAATGACATTTGACGTATATATATATGTTTGTAGATGTAGATCACCCATGACAATAAAGTCCTAAGAAGGACTGTTCGTGTTGATGTTGACTGACGTTTCGACAACCTTAGCGGTAGTCATCTTCAGAGTTCCCAGGTTCAAACCATTCACTTTAAGACATATATAGTCGAACTTCATTCCAACAGCACTTAGTGAAAGAAAAATTAT